CTAGCTTTCTGTCTTTGGATTTAGGAACCAACTCCCAAACAGAGTTCTTGTAAAGAGACTCCATTTCCTCTGTCATAGCACTTATCCAACTATCTCGCTCATCACTTGCTATAGCTTCTCGATAAGTAGTCGGATCTCCTTGACTAATATTAAGAGCATAATTAACTTCGTTTTGGTCAAACCCAAACCTGTCAAGTTTCTTCTTGTTCCGCTTAGGTTTGTCCAGTGCTATGCATCTTTGGAATGCTGGTGGATTGTTGGGTGGAGTTTGACTCCTTTGGGATATCTGGCGGATTGGAGTACCTTCAATCTGTCCTGTTTCTTGCTCCACCTGATTCCTAACTGGTGAATGATGCTGATGCTCTTCTTCTTCCTCAAAACCATCAGATTCGGCCTCTTGCTCAATTTGCTTCACCTGAGCTTCTTCTTCATCTGAACTGATTAACGGAATCTTTGTTGCTTCAATTTCAGCATCATCCTTCTTCTCCCTACTGCTCTCGACTTTATTCAGAGGCATGGTTGTCTCATCAAAGACAACATCTCGACTGACAACCTTTTTCCTGTTGTTGAAATCCCAAAGCTTGAAACCCTTCACTCCTTTCTCAAAACCTAGGAATATGTAAAGTATAGACTTCGGTTTTAGCTTGGACCTTTCATCACTTGGAATATGTACATAAGCACTGCAGCCGAACACCCTGAGCTTGGAATAATCCACCGGCTTCTTAGACCATACCTCTTCTGCACTCTTAAAACCGAGAACTGTAGATGGTGATCTGTTAATCAAATAACTTGCATGATTAACAGCCTCTGCCCAAAAACTATCAGGCAATCCTGCATGAAATCGCATGCTCCTTTCTCTCTCCATTAGAGTTCGGTTCATCCTCTCAGTAGCTCCATTTTGTTGGGGATTCTTCTTTACTGTGAAGTGCCTTATGATGCCTTCCTGCTTGCAGTAATCGGTGAACTCCTTACTTGTATATTCACCTCCATTGTCACTTCTCAGATCCTTGATCTTTCTTCCAGTTTGATTCTCGATTTCTGTTTTCCATTCCTTGAACTTTGCAAAAACCTCGGATTTCTGCTTCATGAAATAAATCCAAACCTTCCTAGAAAAATCATCCATGAAAGTAACAAAATACCTGGCTCCACCATTTGATTTAGTTGGAGCAGGACCCCAAACATCTGAGTGAATATAGCTGAGTCGCTCCTTACTTCGGCTATCTGCACTGCTACTTGCGAATGATACCTTTCTTTGCTTCCCAAGAACACAGTATTCACAAAAGTCCAGTTTGCAAGCTGACACGCCTTCCAATAGACCTTGCTTGTGTAATTCTTGCAATCCCTTCTGGCTTATGTGCCCGAGCCTATGATACCATAGTTCAGTCTTGTCTTCTATACTTTGATTTACAGAAACAGCTGCTCCCCCGACTATAGTGGTCCCAATTAACTTATACAACTTATTGGGTTGTAGGTCACCCCGCATTACCACTAGCGATCCTTTGGTTACCCTGAGTCTTCCTTTTTTAGACTTGTACCCATAACCGGCCTCATCTAAAGTACCCAAGGAAATCAAATTCTTTCTTAGTCTAGGGACATACCTGACGTTCCCCAAAGCTCGTATCATCCCATCGAACATTCTGATTCGAACAGTGCCGATTCCTCTTACAGGACATGAAGAATCATCCCCCATTAAGACTTCCCCGCTGCTGACTTCTTTGTAAGTATCGAACCATTCTTTTACTGCACACATATGAAACGTGCATCCAGTATCCAAAATCCAATTGAAAGCCTTGGAGCCCGATGTTACCGAAAGAAGTTCCCCGTCACTCTCATGTTCGGTGACTGCACTAGCGGAACCTGAGCTTCCTTCCATCTTGGCTTTCTTTTCTTTCCAAATCTTGCAGTTCCTCTTCCAATGATCGGCTGAACCACATTCGAAGCAACCTTCCTTCTTTTCCTTTTTCTTCTTGGATTTTGACCTACCTCTGCTGCCAGTTTTCTCTTCCCTTGTCTTTTCCCGCCCCCTCTCCTTGCCTTTGGCATAAAGGCCTTGAGAGCTTTCAGTTATATCATCTAGTTTAGCATATGACTGAAGAGCTTGAATTACGTCTGCAAGCTTCAAGGACTCTTTTCCAAACATTAAAGTTGTTCGAAAGTGCTTGAAAGACGAAGGTAGAGACCTTAGCAGGATGATAGCCATATCATCATCTTTGTAAGTTTCTTCGACTTTCTGAAGATTAGCTATGCAATTCTGGAACCTGCATACGTGATCTTCAATATCACCTCCTTCTTCTAGTCGAAGCCCGAATAGTTCATCCTTTAGAAAAAGTTTATTGGACACGGTTTTTCCCATATAAACATTCTCCAATTTTTCCCATGCTTCCTGGGCAGACATCTTTTCGGTGATGTGTGACCGAACTGATCTTGTGAGATGGATCTCGATGGAACTCTTGGCCTTCTTGAGAACCTTATTCCATGCTGCTTCTGTCATGCTTTCCGGCTTCTTACCATTAAGTGCATCATCCAAATCCTGCTGTATCAGTACGTTCTTCATCATCCTTTGCCAGTCCGTGAAGTCATCCTTGCCGTCAAAGGGTTTTAATGCAGGTCTTTGATCCGCATTCATCTTCCCTTTTAACATCGTAGAACACCTTGATCCTAGCTCTTGATACCAATTGTTGAAAAAAACCCCGCACACTGGACCTTGTTCTTTGATGTAACCAACGGCAATAGACTAAACTAGCAAATATAGAAAACTTGGAAACACACAAGAATTATACTGGTTCGGCAGAACTTATGCCTACGTCCAGTTGTGATTTCCCTAGGTAGATAAATCACCGCTTCTTTGATTAATAATAGAGATTACAGAACTTATGCAAACCCTAGAACTAATCTCAAACACTCTCTGCTGTTTGGCTATTTTCTCTCTGCTGTTAAACAGCCTTGCCACACCCTATTTATAGATATAGGGTTGGCTTACATGTCCTTTACAGATTATAATTCCTATTCTAAGTGGAATATGAAATTAGACTTCCTTTCCAATTCTAAATAGACTTCTAGGATTTCTAATCTAAATTGAATCAAGAAACTAAGATTCTTTCCTAGCCCTTTTAGGAGAAGAATTGGTGCACCCTTTCCCTAAAACAATCCTAAACAGAAAAGGACACAAATTGACGAGCCAAAAACTAACATGTCATCATACACATGGCGAGTTGCACCAGTATCTATCCACCAATCAAGGTGACCAGATGCAAGGTTGATTTCAGAAATCATTGCAGCCAAGGCATCCACATTGTTTTCAATCAAGTTCGCACGGTTGTTGTTGCCTTGATTTCCAGGATCTTGATCCCTTCGATGGCGACATTCTTGAGCCTTATGGCCTTGCTTTCCACAAACCCAGCAACTTCCCTTGATTTTCTTGAAGTCTTTGCCTTTTGCACCAGGGGCAAAGTGTTTTTCCTTCTTCTTAGTTTTCTGGAACTTTGGCCTTTGCTTTGATGAACTTCCTTCAACAACATTCGCCTTGGCTTCCATACTCGAAACCAGGCCCTTCTGATTCTTTCTGTTATCTTCCTCTATTCTCAGCCTGACAATGAGATCCTCAAGGGTCATCTCCTTACGTTTGTGCTTGAGATAATTCTTGAACTCTTTCCAAGAAGGTGGCAGTTTTTCTAAAGGACGTCACTTGGAAAGACTCATTAATCACCATCCCTTCAACATGAATGCCATGGATGATTTTCTGGAGATCTTCAATTTGAGAGACAACGGACTTGGAATCCACCATTTTGTAGTCCAAAAATTTGCCCACGACTAATTTCTTGAAACCAGCATCCTCAGTTTTATATTTTTTTCTCAAGTGATTCCCAAAGTTCCTTGGTTGTTTTGCATACTACATAGACATCATACAATGAATCATCTAATGCATTGAGAATATAGTTTCTGCAGAGGAAATCATTATGATTCCAGGCATCTATAGCTGTTAAAATTTCTACAGAAAAAGTATTTTCTCCATCTGCAATAGGTACAGTCTCACGCAGAACATTAGCCAAATTCAAGGTTGTCAAATAAAACAGCATCTTCTGCTGCCATCTTTTGAAGTCTTTGCCCTTAAATTTCTCAGGCTTCTTAGAATGAGGTTTAGTTCTTGATTGTTCCATACTGTTCAAAGATTGTTAGAGAACAAATCAGAAATAAACAAAAAATAACAGAAATAAACAGAACTTGAAATTCTAATATTTTATTAACCAAAAATACTTGATGTGCAGAATGAAATTATACAATAAATACAAAAACTAATATAAGAATATCAATGATACTAACTTGATCACAGAAGGTAGAGGCTAGCGTAAAAACTATGTCCTTTGAACAGTATTTTCGTCCCACTCTTATGCTTGTGGTTCTACAACGTCTGCTCGACCAGAATTCAACTACCCAATTCTACAACCCGCACTAGATTCTAGAATTTTAGCGAATTTGCTTTGTGTGCTTAGTCTCTGAAAATTTCATACCGAAGAAAAGATGATTTCACTTGGATACTGTGATTGCAAATAAATAAGTTGTTTCACACTCTTTCAAATATATGTTCAGTGTATTTGAAAGTACACAACTCTTTCTAATAGCTGTGTCTTTTAATCAAAACGGTTTTTAATTAATAAATTAATTAAAAAACTTAATCCGAAAATTAAAATTAATGAATCTGATTAATTTTAAATTCCCAGGCCCTTGTCTTGATTAATTAATGTTAATTGCATTTAGGCTATATTATATTCAAGCCTAATCCACACAACCATAAGGCTCAAACCTTCAATCAATTTCCAAATGGTCCAAGTTCTAATTACTAAGAAGAAGGAATAAGCCTATATAAAGTCTAGTAAAAAAATACTGTTGATCAATGTGGGACAAGAAGGTCTCAAACTCCTACATAGATTACTATAGTGTTTTGGATTTGTGGAATTTGACGATATTCTGGCACCACTTCCTGAGGATAAAGTTAGCTATTCTGAAAAACCAACCCTATCGCTGCCATTTGACTCTGTGGATAACTGATTCTCTTTACTCAATGGTCTTTATGTTAGGAGAAGTACAGTGGAGACCAAAATTTTACCCGTTTCTCAAGTTCTTTGAGTCTAAGATTGAAATTAAATGTTGTGTATGCTTATATTTATGCCCAATTTGACATGCTCAGCGACGAAATTCTGAAGCTTTAGTCTTTATAAAGTCATTTCAAGCAAGAGATGAACAGCCTATTATGTAATTGATCCTATTTGACGGTATTGTTGTCTAAACTAGGAAACTCATTAATCTTTTCTAATTTATACCTTATTGGAAAGAACTGGTTGCTATTGTTGTCTAAACTACCTGGTTCTGAGAATTAATCAATTAGGTTTAGTTGGCTTTTATCGGTTGGTAGCCAATTTCAACACAACAAGAATGCTATGGTGTGTAATATGCTTTAATTTTCTTAGTAAGTGTCATGGGGAGACATAACATTTCAAGTATTGGCTCACCACCCCCACCCTGATTTTATAATGTCTAATTCTTGAATACATTGCCTGTTATTGTTTCTCAAATTTGATAGGAATTGAATAGATGATGCAGGTGAGAAGAAAGAAAAAGAGGCTTTGGATGACTCTATGGGTCAACTACAACTTGAGAATGCCCCGCCTACTTTAAAGAAGAAGAAGAAGAAGAAATGTCGCCGTACTTCCAAGTGTTCAGTTTGCCTTCGGAAGGGTTGTGACCAAAGTATGTGCCCCTATGGGTCTAGGATCCCGCCTGGCGTGACTCTGGTTGGTGAGGGCTATGAACTAGCTTGTAGGCGCTGTATTCGCAAGGATAATATGTGTGGGCACAATATGTCATTTGCTCTGCCATTTGCTGTGTTAATTGTAATGACTATGGCCACCGTGTTCTTGACTGCCCGATGCCAAATATGATAACATTGATTCCAGGCTAGACGTAGACGAAGTGACTTACCACCTGCCCGTATCGCACAAGTCATACGACTCATCCATTGTTTAGTAATGACTGCATATGAGCCTGCTGAAGCTGAGGATTTCCTGGAGTTTTGCTTAATTTTCTCTTTATTATTTTAGTTGTATGTTGTGAATGCTTCAGTAGTTACATATAATGCATACATGGTATACGGAATGTGGTTAAGTTGATTGATCCTTGTGTTCTTGGCTAGTGTATTAATCTTTAAGTCTATGTTTTCTCTTACATAATAAAGAGGAAAAGGTATGCAGATGTTAGGGGCAGAGCGTCTGTTAGGCGCCGGGTGCAGATGTTTGAGCAATAGAGACCTTAACTTATTGAGTATATACATTTTCTTCGCCCTTGTTGAATAAATGGTTAACTCTTACAATCTGCAGAAGGGGTGTGGATTTCATTTCCCTTCCTCATCTTTTAGAATCAACACTGTATATATAGATGCTATACAATCCTATTACCGGATAGTATGCTGATTACTGCTCATCCCAATCCCAATCCCAATCCCAGACTCTAATCAAAGGCTGAAGTGAATCCTTGGGAGATATCAACCAATCCAAACGCCATTGACTCGTCAATGAGGCTCAAATATTAATAGCAGATGGCAATTACAACATATTTTTCAATCAAGTTAAAAGTGTTACCAAGGATTCTAAGATTGTGTGACATACAAATTTGGTATCAGCGGAGTTGTGTTTTTCACTTTTGGTTCCACCACTTCCCCAATGGCCCAAATTCCACCACCTTTCACGTTATCCAAGCAGTGCACGAATTCATTTTTCACCTTTCCGGAAGAAAATAACTTCGAGATCACGAATTCCACTATACCTCCAGGAAGAACAACATACACGGTAGGGCTGACGATGAAGAAGATGCAATGGGCTATTTGGGTCGTTTAGATGAGGCAGCTAAAAATTGTGAAGACTTTCTGCCACAAGTGAATATGCAGCCAATGGATATTGCGAGGAAGGTTTTCAAAATACATTTGCAGTCTTGAATCTGACACAAGTAAATTGTATTATTTTAAAATTTTAGAATATGGCACATTAATTTTTTTTTAGAGAATGACTCATGATTTTCTTTAATGATATATGTTTAACAGATACTCAAAGTATATCGTGTCTACGTACAAATACAATATAACCCCGAATGTAAATTACTTAGTTGGCATAATTGTCCCTGTTGTTCAACCCGTTTACATGGATTTACAAAACTAAAGCCGGGAATATGTGTGTGTGCGCGCGTGCGCGTTCTAGGTAGCGGATTGAAACAAGCAATTGAGTTTTTTTGTTAGATCGTAAGAGGATTAGCCCAGACAAAATCATTGGTTATAAAATTGAGGATTTGAAGTTAACGACTAGTGTGGATGAGGTAAAAAAGCGAATTTGGTTGGCTTTGAAGGCCTCTGCTTTATCCGATAAGTTTACTGGAATTTCATTCAGAGGTCAGTCTAGTTATTTTGTATTTTATTTTTGGGGTTTTTGAGCATTAGTCCCTTTTACAAAAGATTAAATTTTTTTTTTAAAAAAACTTGGTGTTAGATTACATATTCAATTTAATCCCTTGAAGTGTACTTTTATCAAAATTTATATTCAATTTTTGTTATTTAATGTGTATTTTTATTTAATCTCTCCACATTAAATTTTAATTTTATTAATGTGCACATATTTAGTTCTTTAATTATAAATGAACATAAATGAGAAAATATTAAAAGAAATTTGTGATACAAAAATATATAAATACATAAGTGTACAGAAATGACTATGTCAAAATATATAAAATTGACTTTTTTGTACCAAAATATTTGTACCTACATGATTGTACCGAAATATATTATAATGAACCTAAATGTATGTACCAAAATGTATTATATTGAATTAATGTACCTAAATGTCAATACCGAAATGTATGTACCAAAATGTACGTACCGAAATGTATGTACCAAAATGTACGTACCGAAATGTATGTATTGAAATATAGTATATTGAATTAATGTACCTAAAAGTCAATACTCAAATGAAAGGTATTAGATTCGAATCTCGTGGATAATGAATTCGATACCAAATTAAGTTGTCCATTATGTGGCTTAGCCGAACGTCCCTCGCCTTAATATAAAATATAACGTTGTACCTATATGTTTGTATTGATGGATATACCGAAATATTCAAATGTATTAATGTACCTAAATGAAGAACATACAAAATTGTTATTGGACTATAAATTATAAAAAAATTAGTTGACTAAATGTAGACATTAAAATATACTATGATAAATGAAATGAAAATTAAATTTAAATATAATTAATACATTAAAATAGGAATAAAAAGATAAATAAAGCATCAAAATATAACTAATAAATGAGATGATTAAATGTACTAGGGACTAAAATTGGATTTTAATCTTACACAATGTTATAGTCTAAAACTCATCTTTTTCAAGGATTAAAATGAAGTTTTCTATTTGACTTAACTTTGAATTGATTGAGACATAATTTCTGAGAATATTTGGAATTTTTCTTGTATCACTTTGCACTATTAAAACAGATTGAAATCATTCAATTGAAGGGTGTAGTTTTCTTAGACTCCACTTTTAGTTTTGCCTCTACAAAGATGACAACCAATCAGTTTATCTAGTACATCGAAATATCCTCGCACGGTACGTGTTCAGCTTCCCTTCGCAAGGGCTGTAACGAAATTATGTGCCCCTATTGAGATAGGATCCCGCTTGGCCTGACTATTGTTGGTGAGGGTTTGACAAAATCTCCAACTTCTAGTCTCTTTTTTTCTTTTTTTTTTTCTTTCTTTTTTTGTCATTATTTAAGCTTGGAGGTGAGGGAAGCGAACTTGGGTGAGGTGGGAGTTTCTTTGGTTCTAGTGCCACTGCACTAGGCCCCCATCCTCTTAGGTTTCTAGTCTTTTGAGTATGACAAAAATTGTTGTTTTTCCTTTTTGAATATGGGAGAATAACCCTTTAATTAGTTTCATATCCCTAATTTTGTTTGTGTACTTTCCTATAAAGATACGTTATGCCATTCGTTTTAATTAGTTGCATATGGGCGTGGGTTAAGGTGGTAGTGCGGATCTCGTTATGGACATGTGTAACAAACTTTACAAGTAATTATTTTCCTTATTACTTTACATTCATTTGTTTTTGCATGTTTGTGAAGCAGTCGTATATATTGGTGCCGTTTGGAGTTTTTGGTTGTTCAGTTCAAGTTTACATCAAGTGATCATGCAATCGTGTATATATAGTTAGTTAGTTACTAAACCCTGTTGTTGAATTTCCTTATTGTGTACTTTCCTACAAAGATACGTCAGTCCAGTCGAAACCCCTCAACGGACGAGGTCACCTTGTAAGGGGAAAACGGGATACTCAACAACTTGTCATACAAGCTAAGAAAAATGAGAATGACGCAGTAGTTGGTGGACGGGGGGAAAGTTAGTGAAGTGATGCACAATGTTGAATCTTTTAATTACGGGATAAAAAGATTTCAAAATGTATGTTTTGTGAAATGACTATTTACAGTTAAGCTTGGGAAGAGAAGATATTTTTCAATTTACTCAAAACACGTGTAATTATACAAATTATGATATACTTGCTTAAAAAAAAAATCAACTTAATAAAATAAAATTTCACATCACTCAAGTTGGATGCACTTAAATTTATAAATTATATTATATGCCATTGACAGCATATATGGTTCGGACGGGTTCTTTATTTAAATTTGGACAGATTGCCTTAATGTTGTACTAGCAGATGCTGTTGCATCTGGGCTCGCGCGCCTGCATTTCTGGGCTTGGGGTCATGCTCCTGGACCAGCACGGGCTAGATTGGGCTCCTGGATGGGCCTGCTCGCCTGGGTGTTTTACTAGTGGAGATGTGCGGGGGTGGGGGCAGTATGGTCAAGTCACATAAAAAGTTCTCATAAAGAAACAGAAGAGAAGACCCAGGAAGAAACAGAACGGAGGGTTTTGGCTGAGGGAGACAGACGGAGAGGAAGAGGAAGAGGAAGAGGAAGAGGAATTTCAGTAAGAGGGAGGGAGGGAGGGGGAGAGAGAGAGAGAGAGAGACGAGAGAGAGAGAGAGGAAGAAGGAGGGTACCAAACACAGTGTCTCGACCAGAAACCAAGCGACCGAAAAGAATCGCAGCTTTCAGAAAGCTATGGAGTCAGAGGCAGATCACGCACACACCGAAATTGACCAGATTGAAGAACACTGTGCGCGCCAGCTGCTCTGCTTGACGGAACAGTGTACCGGACAAGGGCCGCGGTACACCCACATTGAGCAAAACGAGTTCTTGCATAGAAGGTAAGTTACAATCACTGTCTCTCTGTTAGTTTTTAGCTTTAGCTTCGGCATGAGTTTTGTGCAATTGGGTTTGTGGAAATCGAACTGCATTGGTTGATGACTTACCAATTTGTCTTCTGGGTTTCTCAATTTGTTGTCTTTGCCTGTAATTTGGGCTCCGTTAAGTGTTTTAATTGCCGGATGCAGTTGGGAGGATTGATGGACTGTTTCATTTTGTTTTGAATCTACAATGCGAGGTTTAGGGTTTAAGATAGATGGTATACAATTATTTGCTCACTTGAAAGTAATATCAGCCTGAGAGGACCAATGAGACAGAACACTGTTTAGTTACAACTTTTACCTGCTAATCGGTTCAAGGAAAGGTTTTTGTAGTTGGTTATCGTTGGTTGGTTATTTGCATTAGCAGTTGACAATTTGAAATTATATAACAAGGTTTCTTTCTCCCTCTCTTTGTTTATTTGCAGACACAAGATACAGACGGAGGAAGATATTGCCATATGTGAATGCAAGTATGATGAAAATGATCCTGAAAGTGCATGTGGAGAGAGGTGCTTGAATGTACTAACCAACACGGAATGCACTCCTGCGCATTGCCCTTGCGGTGTCTATTGCAAGAATCAGGTAAATATTTTTTTTCCTCTGGTGTTGTGTGTGTGTAGGACCAAGCGCAATGGCGTTCTAGGATTCATATAGCCGACCCCACTTAGTGGGAAAAGGCTTTGTTGTTGTTGTTGGTGTTGGTGTTGTGTGTGTGTGTGTGTGTATGTGTGTGTGTGTCTTCTCTCCCACCTCCTGCTCGTGGGTTTGTGAATATGGATCTGTTTGCTTGCGTGTTATTTCTTCATATTTGTCTTTTTCTGTTTATATGTAAGCCTTCATGGCGTCGCCACATATAGTTCAGGACTTTGTACATTGTGATTGTAGAAGATTATAATACTTAACCAATTTATGTTTTATTTATTTTATTTCCAATTGTCTTTTGTATTATCCTCTCATAATGTTTATCAGCATATTGGTTTAGTATTGATCTTAACCGATTTTTCATCTATCAAAAGTTTCAATTCTTCACAGAAAGAATAAGATTTTATGCACACACCCCAACGCATGCACACTCCACCTGCCTCTTACTAATGATTATATGCTTACGGACATAAGCGTGTACATAAAAGTTGTGCAAGGCATGAAAATTGTGACGTAACTGTTTTTGCATGGCAACGAGGGTTTGTAATTGTTTATGGTTCAGAACGGTATAGTTTGGCATGTAGATGGAAATTCTGAACAATAGATATATTTATGGGTTCTGCAGTTCAGAATTTATGGATGTGCTTTTAGATTTTGTTTTTGGTCAATAATGAGATTTACAACATTAGGTTTGTCCAATCGCAATCCAAGTTATAGAAGGTATACCTTCATCCTATTATTGGGAAACCACTCTGTTGACCTAGCATATTTGGGATATTCGTTAAAGTTGACAAACCATTTTAGGGGCATTCCTTTAAGTTTAGTTTTTCTTGGTTGGGGACCGGGGGAGTATGAAATTATGATTAGTTTGCTTGTGCAGTTATTCAATCTTTGTATTTCATAGTTGCATCTGTAACTCTGTATTTTTTTGTAACATTCTTTATGCTGTTTTTTTAATTTTCTAATAAATTATCTAGAACACCTTTTCCTTTTTCGTGAAAATATCGGGATAATGATGTACTTAGCGTGAGTTTAAGATAATTTGAATATTCAATTCCCTGTTCAAATACTATGAAATTTCTATTATTCATTTCTGATACCTTGTTTGTTTACTGTTAACAGAGATTTCAGAAATGTGAATATGCCAAGACAAAGTTGTTTAAAACAGAAGGTCGTGGTTGGGGTCTTTTAGCTAATGAGAATATAAAGGTAATAGCCTATTAGTTTTATCTTGATTTGTTACAAATGTAAAGTGACTTCTCTTTACCTGGGTTCTTTGCTATTCATTTGTTTTAGTTGAGTCAATTAATACATATTACTGGGTTTTAGGCAAGTTTATGGTTGCTTTATTTATTTATTTTTTGAAACGTTTGAACTGTATAGTGCATCTTGGTATGTTATTTATCTTTGGAACTTTTGTTTTGACTCAACCGAGAACCTTGAAGCTTTATAAGTCTGTGAGCTATTTATAGTTTCTTTATGTTTTGAGTGAATCTGTAATTTCTTGTAAGCTATTTGATTTGCTTTGCACAATGCAGGCAGGACAATTTATTAATGAGTACTGTGGGGAAGTGATATCATGGAAAGAAGCAAAGCAAAGATCTCACGCTTATGAAATTCAAGGTGATTTAATAGGCTTACCAAATATATGTTTGTATTACTTTATTTGAGGCTGAATTCAATTTCTGCATTGATGTAGGTCTCCGAGATGCATTCATTATTTCTCTCAATGCCTCTGAATCTATTGATGCAACTGAAAAGGGAAGCGTTGCTCGTTTTATAAATCATTCATGGTGAGCCTTATCAGGCAAATCTTTTTGGGAAAATTTTGTATATCTTTAGAACAACTAGCTGTTATTTTATTTACTTGCCCCAAGTTGAGATTGAGTTATTATACTTTAATGTTTTCAGCCAACCAAATTGTGAGACAAGAAAGTGGAACGTGTTGGGGGAAATTAGGGTTGGAATATTTGCAAAACAAGATATACTGGTAGGAACCTGAGTTGGCATATGACTACAATTTTGAATGGTACGGGGGAGCTAAGGTTCGCTGCCTCTGTGGTGCTTCGAGCTGTTCAGGATTTCTTGGGGCCAAGTCTCGTGGTTTTCAGGTAATTTATTGATTGAACATTCTGGACACAAGTCTTCATTTTAGATATTAAGGATGAAAAAGAAGTCATTTCGAGGGTGTGCTATAGCCTATAAGTGTGGCTGTTATCTCCATAGCTGCACATTATCTATTTTCTCATTATAAAATTATCTGGATACTGCCGTTGAACTAGAAAATTAAAATCTTGCCTGTGATGCATAATGCAAGTTCTGCAATCTTTCTGGTTACATTTTTTTTAATCTTTTCAGTTTCTTTTTCTCTGGGCATGGTCCCATTGTTTGCTTTGAAATTCATTGCCTAACCTCTCTAATGCTATCAACTTTCCTGGATTATAATTACATATTTTATGCTTATAAAATGGTTTTAGGGGTTTGCAGTTTCTATTGGTTTGCAATTGTCCCCTACAAACTTTTATGGGGGTATATGTCTGACGCTTAGTTTAGAGGCATTGTTTCAATTAGCGTAAAGAAAGAAAAGCTTAAGCATTCCTCACAGAGACAACCTGAAAATGTCTTTCGGCATGCAAGTGTTCTGCGAAATTTCAAAAAAGTGTGGTGTAAGCCTTTTCTTTTAGTTGGTATGCTTTAGCAAACTCACGCTTACAATATTTAAGAAAAGGGAATTCTTTTGGTATGGGTTTTATGTTTTTTTTTTTTTTTTTCTTAGCACGCTAGTAAATAGAACCCCAAGTCTCTATCATTCAAACCTGCACAGCATTGCACAACCAATTGACTCCTTCAGAAGCATGCAATGAAAAACTTGAATGGTTACTATATGGCAGCATCTCCATCATAAGTTGGAAGTTGAACAGTTGGTAATTTCCAATTTTTGTTCTTTTAATGGTTTTTATTCTTGCAAAGAGGGTTTTGTAGAGTTCACGATATTTCAATTAGGCTCTTGGTTGAGAAAATTAGTAAACATTGAGGTGTTTGGCAGAGAGAAATCTCTGGTTTTATCTCCTTTTCTCCCTCAGAAAGACTACTAACGACCTGAAAAATAATATTTACGGTGTCTCATGGACCATTTTATTGGGTTTCTTTAATGATTTTAGCTTTGCCAAATTTGGGACCAAATTGGGTTGTTTTTAACATGTTGAAATATAGGGAAATTTTGTGGTTATAATGTTTTAGGCTTGACCAGCGCACTCTAAGCTTTAATAACTCTTCTTAATGACCATTATAACCTTTGAAAAATGACTTAAAACAACTTAATTCACATCTAAAATGTTTTCCAATTACTCCACCATAGCTCACTCAGGCTTATACCCACCCTACCATCCAATACTAACCATAACCCCATCACAATCTTCAAAATCAGCCCTTCATCACTCCATAAACCCCAATCACATAAGACCACCCATATTGAGTTTTCTTGGTCAATGGAGCATCAAATCATCATGTATGGCAAGTCAGTGAGAATGGAAAGGTATGTTATTTGCCAAATTAGTTGAGCTTGTTTTGTTCTTTTGGTTACTAAAACTGGGCTCACGTTTTGTTTGGTTACTCAGAGCTGAGCACCAAATGTACTGTGCAGTTATATGTGGCCAAACAACCATTCATTAAGTGTAGCCAGATATTGCTGCAGAGGACATTTGGTGTGTGACCAGAAATGGCTGCACACCAACAAGAAAGTGGAGCCAGTATAGCCACACAATTCTCTCTATGTGCTGTATTCTCTAACAGAACACTCACCTAATTCTACATCTAAACTCGTTTTCTCTAATGCTGGGCGAAACTTCTTCTTAAGGTAGTGGGGTTGGCTCAGAATGTGCACCAGACTACACAAGTGAATTTACGAGTAATGAGGTTACCAACTTTATCTTTAAATTGATAATGGAATTTATTATGAGATAGCTTCATTAGCTTTGGGTTTGGTGGAAGTGTTTCCAATAGTGACTATGGCCTCCTCTTGTAACATATTCTTTGTTCAAACTTGTTTTGAGAATGCAGGACGACAATTCTGCTCAAGATAGTAGGGTTCGCTCATACCGTGTAATGAATTTCACAAGTGAATTTACTACTTATGTGGTAACCGACTTTGTCTTTAAAATGCTTTTGTCCCAATAAGAGCCATGTGCATATTTTGGGTACTTACATGCTAGTTTTCCTTTGTTTTGTAGATATTCAAGACTAGAGCGTCCTTGATGCAGCGGGCTTGTCAGATGGGGAAGCAAAATGGGTTTGTTATTGTGACATTACGATCTGATATGGGTTGTAAGAGTACGAAACCAAGAGTTACATTAGGTTGCGAGAGGGGTGGAAGATTTAAGGAGAAGAAAACTAGGGCTGCAAAAAAAAGACATGGGACAGGCACAAAGAAGTGTGTCCTTTCACATTGAAAGGTGAGAAGTCAGCGAACGGGGACGGATGGATGCTAAAGGTTGTATGTGGAGTGCATAACCATGCATCCACTGAGTATCCTGATGGGCGTTCATATGCAGGGAGCTTATTGGAGCAGGAGACTTCACTCTTGATAGACTTGTCAAAGAATTTAGTACGACCCAAAGAAATCCTGAGCACATTGAAGCAAAGGGATGAACTCAGTGCTGCTGCCATAAGGACGATCTATAATGCACGCTAAAGACAAAGAGTTAAAGAGAAGGCAGGGAAGTCTCAAATGCAACAACTGTTACGTAAGTTGAATGAGCATGACTATGTCGAGTTGCATAGGAGGTGCCCTATGTCAGATAGTGTGCAGGACTTGTTTTGGGCGCATCCTGTGAGTTTGGAGTTGTTACGTGCACTTCCAACCATTTTGATGATAGATTACAAGTACAAGATCAATAGGTATTATTACCCCCTACTAGAGGTTGTAGGCGTCACATCCACTGATATTACATTCTCAATTGCATTTGTCTTTTTGAATTCTGAAAAAGAAGACAACTATATAAGGGCATTAAGTAAATTGCGTGGTGTCATGGTGGAGTGTCCCATGCCAAATGTAATTGTCACAGACATGGATTTGCAATTGATGAGAGCCATTGAGGTAGTATTCCCTACTGCTAAAAATCTTAAATGTAAATGGCATATTAATAAGCATGTGTTGGCCAAATGCAAAAACTTGTTTGAGTCCAAGGAAAGGTGTGATAGATTTATTATGAAGTGGAATGTACTCGTGACCTCTCCTACAGAAAATGATTACATACGGGAGCTGGCAGTGTTACAGAGAGAATTTAGTATGTACACTGAGGTCATGGAATATGTTACAAACACATGGTTGAATCCTTTCGAGGACAGATTTGTGTCAGCTTGGACGGACATGATCATGCATTTTGGTAATGTAACATCAAACAGGTAATTTCATGAGTTATATTACTCATTCAATGTTACATCATTGGTTTACTATAAAGTTTGTAACTTTGTGTTAACATGTTTGCAATTTTTTATGTTTTAATAGGGCCAAGGGTGCACATACCAAGCTTAAGAGGGAACTTGGTATGAGCCAGGGGAATTTTGAGGGTTCTTTTGAGAGTATACACTCTCTTATTGAGTTACAGCACACTGACATAAAGATATCTTTTGACAAGTGTTTGATGGTCACACAACAAAGCTTCAAGTCTTCAGAATTCAAATATCTGAGAGGAGTTGTATCTATGTTTGCATTGGAGAAGGTGTTATCTCGGTCCAAACTAGCCACCTCAATTGGTGTTGATGGTTCAGGATGTGGTTGTGTCATACCCCGAACCCATGGTCTACCTTGTGCCCACGAGATTGTGAAATACAAGGGGGAGTGTCAGCCAATTCCTCTTGAGTCTCTTGACCCCCATTGGGCAAAACTTGATATACTACCTCCTAGTTCTGCTCAGGATTCTATGGATGTGAATGAGTTTCCTGAGTTGGAGTTGCTTCAACAATACTTTCTGGAGGCAAATGCAGAAAATAGGTTGATGCTCAGGAAAAGAGTGAGAGAACTTGTAGCACCCTATACAACTAATCTTGTTGAACCAGGAGTCAAGTCCAGATTACGAGGTCAACTGAGGGGGAAAATTGATATGTCCACTCAACAGGATCCATATGCATTTGATTTGAGATCTGCATCTGTGGATAGTCACTCACCTAGCCCAATGGATGGTCAGCAAAATTTTACATACAAGCAAACAGAGCGAACCAAGAAGAAGATAATAAAGATACCAATTACTAAATCAAATATCATATAGTTACCCATTTATACACAAGGTTTCATATTCATGCAGGTGTACCGACGCTGTCAATGAAAGGTATTTCGTATATTGATGTGTTCCCAATTGGATTGAGGCCCTTCATTCAGCAAGTCAAGGATGTATGTCATGATGGTCACTGCGGGTTTAGGGCAGTTGCTGATTTAGTAGGATTGGGTGAGAATGGATACTTGCAAGTGCGTAATGACTTGCTTACTGAGTTGTCTTCATTTTCTGCACATTATGGCGAGTTGTATGGCAGCACAGACAGGGTTCGTGAGTTAGCACAGATACTATCATTCTTTGATGAAGGTAGAGCACCATTTGATAGATGGATGATGATGCCTGACATGGGTCATCTTATAGCGTCATGCTATAAGGTCGTGCTTTTCCACTTATCATCTACTCAGTGCCTTACCTTCCTACCACTTTGGTCGGCACCAGTTCCTTTGCCAAGGCGTCGACAGATTGCTATTGGTTTTATGAATGATTGTCACTGCGTGGAGGTATGATACCCATAATAATGGACTGTTCTATATCATTTGTAGAAAGACAATTTAGATTAATGTTACATATGTTTCTTGTAGGTGTTCATAAGGCCAGGGCATCCAGTGCCTCCCATTACGTCTGATTGGAGCAGATATCATACACCAGCTGCACAAGGATGGGACACTGTGTATACTAGTTGTATTTTACGCTTCCAATCTCTTGTCAGCTCTGATCAAATCTGACTCGGTCAGGTGCAAGTCACAAGTCCAAACTGTCTCAAAAATATGCTTAGAATGGTCAGGTTCGATCGCTTATATGCACAAATGTGCTCTGAAAGGAGATATCGTCTATATGCACAAATGTGCCCTGAAGGAGAGGCCATGAAGTGGATTTTGCTAGCAAAGCTGCAAATCCCACCAGAAGGATCCAAACCCTACACAAATAATGGAAACAGATATTTCCAGTGATATAGACTTGGTGGTTAAGTGTTAAACCTTATAGTATGGACAGGGCATCCTATATGTCGCCTGTTACGAAAGCTACCAGCTTCTCTTGTATCCTACAAATCATTCATAGTGGCAGCATTTGACTATTGTGGTGTCCAATGATAAACAAACGGATGGCCTGAGATATACCATGTATCCCTCCATTGCTCTAATACCATAGATTGTTAGTTGCCCCAAATGTAATGTATCCCCCCATACATACCATCTCATGTTACCAAAATACCTTAAGTATACGAGAGTAGATTATACACACTAGTGCACCACTCTTATCAGTTAACTGTACATGTCAACATACAAACAATACACTTCGTATCTTGATCGTGCACATATCAACAAAATTGGGAAGAACTGAGAATGCTTTAAAACCCCCACATTAATGTATCGGTCTTCCATCAGTAGTGCTTTCAATCATAAAATCAGCATACAAGAAACTAGTTTCTCTATACTGTATGTTTTTTTAATGTTCCATGTAATTTTTGTTTAATCCTAATTGTATTAGCATACTTATCTTGTAGGTCATGTTTTGTTTTATTTATGCATTTCATTTCATTTCTTTTAGCATTTAGCATTGGGTGTTCATAGGATTTCTGGTGTTCATTTGCTGTTATTTTGCTTTTGTCCGAGTATTGGTTTGCTTCTATTTATTATTAGCAGTTAGCGTTGTGTATTTATAAAAAGTTCTGGTGTGTGTTTTACTGTTTTTTTTCTTTCCTTTTGTTCAGTAAATTGTTCTTCTTACTAAATATTTTAACCTGTGTTGTGCAACTGTTTTACAAACAGGAGGATACTTACCTATGGGAAGACGATGATGACAGGTAATGTACCATACATTGGGATGCATTTCTCCTCAAAGTTTCTTTTTGCAGAATGGATTGCTGCATGAATTTCTTACTTTAACATGTCTTTAGCCTGTGTTTTGGCCTTCATGCACTTGCTTCTTGTAGATTCATACTTAGTTATTGTAGTTCTAAATTTTGTTCCCTTTGATTAGTTCCCCATGTTTGCGTTATAGGCATGAATAAATGGTAATCTAGCAATGACACTTCTTCAAAGTTGTGTTTTGTTGGACAACGACACAGTGCTTTTCTACGTGGTCTGTGTGCATTTTTTACCACCCAACACCCTGTCGACATTTTCCCAACACTTCGATGACATAGTTGAGGTGAAAATATAGTTTTTTCTCAAGAAACTGTTAAAACTTTAGGTGGATGTTATACGATAGGAAAGGGTTACATATGAATACTTATTCTTTCTTATATATTTTGTATTTCTATATTGTTATTTTTACATTTTTTATGACACTTACAGAGCTAAACTGTAGTAGCTTATATGGAGTTAGGACTTTGGTTTTACATTCCTTCAATGAACCTTTTGACTATCAACTTTAGATTAATTAATTACAAGCTAAGTATGCATAAAGATGAAACTAAACCGTAAACCAATAAATCAAGTATACACTTCCTGCATCCATGGTGTGTGGTATTTTAATTTGTTAAAACTTGCCTTGTCATTATTGATGTGCCAGTGTCGTGTCCGTGCCTCTTCATATTTTATAATTTTTTTTCTTTTCCTGTAATTATATTGTTTGTAATTCTGTATACTTTTGATAGATGGACACATTTTTCGTCTCTTTATATACCTTTTTTTTTCCCTTAATATGTATATTTTGTGCTTCCTATAAAAAAAATAATTCTTGTTTGACCTGAACTCTTGAGCTGTTTCAGACCTTGACTGGACTGATAGGGTAAAAGAGGAAACTCTTCAAGAATTATGAGTTTTGTGGAAGACTGAGTTTTGAGGATATCCCCATGGAAGGTCCTAATAATCAACTCCAAAATCAGTTGTTTGAATCAATAGGTCTTCAAATCGTTCATTTGGAAAAGTACAAACCCTTTTATTGGATGATCATGATATTTTCCAAAAATCTAAATTCTTGATCAACGGGGTAACAATATCACTTTTTTGTTCAATAAGAAACATGAATCAAATGAGTGGATCAGTGCAAGTAGTTTCCACCTTCTCTGGTGGGACTGGTTATCTTGCTAAATTTCAGAACTATTCTAACACTTCTGGCCTATGTAGTTGAAAGGTATAGGTTTTAGACACAGTTTTATCTTGACTATGTCTTTGTATCAAAGTAAAATCTTTTCGAAACATGCCACTCACTCGCGCACGCACATACATATATAGAGATTTTTTGAAGGCGTGCATTCTAGTTACGACTTTCTTTTCATATTCAAATATAACTTGCCTCTTTGTGACAGATATTCCGTTGAGAAAATTCCACTGTACGATTCTGCAGAGGATGAGCCTTCGTCTAGGCTTTTCAGGGCTGTGAACTCCTCAAGTTCTGAGTTTGATGTTGATGGGATGACGGAGAATGTCAATGTGGATTCTGAACATCAGTTGATGTCTACTGCTCTTGTTGTGCAATCACTTGATTCTGTTCCAATGGAGGGTGTAGTTATGGAGGTAAAAACAGAAGTGAACATGGAGAGGAAACTTTATTCAGAAGACAATCAACTGTCTATTTCAAAAAAGAATGCGATGATATCTCGTATCCGCAGTAATACTGCAGGTCGGAATTATCACATTAGATCAGGGTCCATGTCAAACAAAAGATCAAAACAATATAATGGAAAGTTGAAACATGGTGCACAAAAGCAAGTCGACGCCAAATCTGTTGCTGCGTTTTTAGCGTCAAAGGAAGCACAAGAGGAAATTTTAAACTATGAGGTACTTATTTTTCAGTTTTTTATTGATCTTGTCGGTGGACCAAAATATCGTCATTAACTTTGCCCTTACATGTAAATCTATGCTTCATGGAGTTATGTTATTTACATTTTGTTGTAGTATGGTTTTAATATTTGAACTTAAATGGTTTTGTCACACTCTCAGCAGCGGTCTATTATCGAAACTGCTCATGTTAAAACTTTTGTTCGCAGCGGATGAAAAATGATGCTGCCACTCATCTTGAATCTCTATACAATGAGATACGACCTGCCATTGAAGAACATGAAAGGGACAGCCAAGACAGTGTAGCTACAAGTGTAGCTGAGAAGTGGATAGAGGCTTGCTGCTTGAAACTGAAGGCGGAATTCGACCTATATTCTTCCATTGTTAAAGTCATTGCCTGCACTCCTCGAAGGCCATCTACCGAAGCTGAACCATCTGACGGCAACACCGAGAATGAGATTAAGTACTTAGAGGATTGATCTTTCTTCCAAACATGTTCATTGGTTTGAAACCGAAAAACCAATGAAACGTTACTCGTGTTTTACCACCATGAGATTTTCGACTATGATTCTGGGACTATTTTTACATAGTCGGCGTTGTGAGCTACCATTCTGCGTATTATGAAGCTTCATTTTCTTCTGGAAATAATCGACTTGTGGTTGTTATTACCTGTATATTTGATGATCCACATTTGATCTCGTTTGGGGTTTTGATTACTTGGCTGGAACGTTGTTTCCATTTCCACATCATTTCCGTAGACACAGGACCATGTGATGTGAGTAAAGTCAAAACTAAACATAGTTTCATTGGAGGAGAGAAATTAGGTATTGAATGTTGCAACGTGAATTAAATCTATTATTTTTATTTTATTTTATTTTTTCACATATCTTGCAGTATCGCGGCATGAGAAGAAGAGACGAAAGATAGAACGAGAGTATCCACTTGAGAATGTTGGTAGCATCCTCTAATATATTTAGAGTGCATTTTTGCTTGCTATCACCAACTATGCTGCATGTTCACCATACATCTCATCTTTTGACACGTGTTTTTTTTTTTTCACTTAAATCATAGTCAAATTTTTTTTTTCAAAATTAGAAAACAAACATTTAATATTAAAGTTAACCATAATTAGTTGAAAGAATATGTGTTAGATGATGAGGTGTGTAGTAAGTATACACCATAGTTATGGTGATGAGCAAAAATGCTCCTTTATATTTACGGGTGAGAAATTAGGTATTGAAAAATAAATTAAAAGAGATGTATATGTGAATATTGCAACGTTAGTTTAAACGTTTATTTTTATTTTATTTTTTTGCATAATTGATTTTTAGTATGTAAATTAAAAAATAGCCGATTTTGATTATCGTGCAATATTAAAAAACAAGAAGCGTAGGCCGAAAACTAAATTCAGAACATGAGAATGTCAGTAGCATCCTCCAATGTATTTAGGTATGATTTTATTTTTTCAGAAACATATTCAATAAATTTGGGTTTGGGAAGCGTAATTTTGCCAAGACTTACGGTCCTTGTAATACGTTCACCATAGACAATAATTTGATGTTCAAAGTAAACGAATTAGGCGTTGACTCGTCGTCCTTGACTAGCCTGCTGATCATTTCATTACAACCTTACCATCCATTTCTCAGTCAAAACCCACCTTCCACGAACCCCCTTTTGCTTTCATTGCCGCCTCCTCCCTCCCTCCCTCCCCTTCTCCTCCACCACATCCACATCCACATCCACATCCACATCGATCGTATATCTCTCTCTTTAAACCCACTCCCTCTCTCTCCCCCCGATCAACTTCACTATGTCCGTGGACAATTCTCTCCAAGCCGTAATCGCAGCTGCCGCCAGCTTCTTCTTCGTAACCGTCATCTTCACCGCCGTCTACCTCCTCTTCAAGGGCTCCAAGAAGAAATCCACCCGCTCCCGCCAAGCCGGTCCCCTCCGCAACCCGGCCGCCCTCTCCGCCATCAGCGTCGACGAGACCACCTCCTTCGATCCGTCCCTCAAGTTCTCCATGGACGAAGTCGTCAAGGCCACCAAGGACTTCTCTGCCGATCTCGTTGTCGGTGACGGCGGCTTCGGCCTTGTCTACAAGGCCCAACTCTCCGACGGCCTCACCGTCGCAATCAAGAAGCTCGATCCCGACGCGTTCCAAGGGTTTCGGGAATTTCAGGCCGAGATGGAAACCCTAGGTAAGCTTCGCCACCCGAACATCGTCAAAATTTTGGGATACTGCGTCTCCGGCGCCGATAGGATATTAATTTATGAGTTTATTTCCAAGGGAAGTCTCGACCGTTGGCTTAACGACTCGTCGTCAACGGACGGTGACGGTTATGATGACGCGCCGGGGTTACGATTACCGTTATCTTGGAAAACGAGGATTAAGATCGTTAGGGGGGTGGCGAATGGGTTGGCATATTTGCATGGGCTGGAAAAGCCCATTATTCATAGGGACATCAAGGCCAGCAATGTGTTGTTGGACAAGGATTTTGAGGCCCATATTGCTGATTTTGGGCTGGCCAGGAGGATGGATGCCTCCCAGTCCCACGTGTCGACGCAGTTTGCCGGCACGATGGGGTACATGCCCCCGGAATACAAGGAAGGGTTCACGGGGGCAACCGTGAGAGCGGATGTGTTTAGCTTTGGGATCTTAATGTTGGAGGTTGCAACCGGGAGGCGGCCGAATTTGCCGACCGTGCACGACGGGAAGGAATTGGGCTTGGTGGAATGGGCTAGGAAAATGGGGGAACAAAATCGGCACATGGAAATGGTGGATTCAGGCATTTCGAAGGAGGATTTGGATGAAGGGGAAGTTAAGGAGTATTTTAGCATTGCCATTTTATGTGCTTGTGAGATTTCAAAACAAAGGCCGGCCATGAAAAAAGTCATTGAAATGTTGAATCAAATTTCGACTTGATATTGTTAGTGCATTTTTTGTTGTTGTTGGTGTGAGTAGTGTTTGTTTATTTTATGGAATGTTAAATAATGTTGCTTGGAGTGCTTATGAAAGGGGATGTAAATATTGATGTTGAGCCAATTAAACAATGAAATGACACGAGTAGGAGAATTAGTATTTAAATTATTGTGTTTTTTTTTTTTGTCTCATTAATTCTATTTGGACACACAAAATTGACATGATTATTCTCTAATACAGATGAGTTTCACATATAACGTTAAGGCTCACTCTATGAAAGAGTAATAGTTTTGTGTGTCCAAATAGAATTGTTGTGGTTCTGCTTTGCGGATTTTACTTTTGCAAATTTATAAACTTATTGTCGCTTAGTACTATGGTCTAGTAGTATTCCTCTTCATTTATAAGTGAGAGGTCTTAGGTTTGACTCTTGTCAAAGGCGAATTTGAATCATGTTATTGCTAGCCCATTGTGAGGCTTAGCCCACTCCTCATACTCTTAGGTAAATAATATCGTTTGTTTAAAAAAAAATTATATATATATAACAGGACTACTTGAGGTACTTAGTAGAACAAGATCCCAACTAAAGGAAGAGAGGATCCTTTTATGTCCACGTCAAATCGTTTTTTCTTAGTCTTCATTATTTATTCCCATTTATTTCAGTAGGTGTCAGTCCTCTTCCTGTTGTGCCAGAATGGTAGTTCCTGCCGATCCATGTCATGATGAGTTGGTTATTAGTTCATGATGAGTTGGTTATTAGTTTTATAGCTATCAGTTTGTATTAGGAATGTATTAGGATTGGTTGGTCCATTTTTTTTTAATCCCAAAAAACATCTTATACAACCACAAAACGAATGTATTTAGGAATTGGTTGGTCACTCAATAACAAGTAATAATAGTAGATGTTATTTAATGTACGAAAGAGGAACAATGAAAAAAATAAAAAACAATAAATATTCGTGATGCACGTATTATTGTATTAGCCCCTCATTGGGTTTTGCGTAACTTTTTCTTTTCAATCGCGAGATTATGTGAATGAACTACTGCTGAGTTCATTTAAAGTAAAAATAAAGTGCTTGTCGTATGGTATGGAACTTCTTTCAAAGATTGTTTTCATGGAACATGATTGTTGTGCTGCAAGTGGTGAATTACCCTAGTGGTTAAAATTTCTTTCACTGTCTTTTGGTTTCAAACCCTCTTCCTTCCCCTCCCTTTAGTGTTAGATTAGTGTAAGATATCATTTATATTAAAAAAACATGATTGTCGTGCTTTTCGTTGAATTAATAAACTAGTGAAGATTCCTTTTGGATGAGAATTAACACCACATATTATGAAAGGTATGAGTTGGGGCGGCACATTATCTTTATATATAAAGTCAGGGCCCAATGAACAGTAGTTTTTTCGTCTCACAAACTTCACCAAAAAATAATTGGACAAAAATGCCCCTCAAACAGAAAACTTCAAAAGCAACCCAAAATAATGCATTAAATGTGGCAAATGTATTTTCGTCATTTTAATAGTGTTTGTTAATAATTAATTTTTTTTGTAAAGTTTTTTTTTTTTAATAATTAGTACCTCATAATAGGCTAGTAATAATATGATTCAATCAGTTGTTCATTAAATATTATTTTCTCTATTTATAAACACGTTCAAAACATCTTAAGAGGCGTGTAATGCTAGTTATAAAAAATGTATTTTACATGCGGATAATAATGTGATTAAATTAGTTGTCAAATGATTTTTTTTTTTAAACAAACAATATTATCTACACTAAGGGGAGGGGTGGGCTTGGTCTCACAATGGGTTAGCTGTGATTCAATCAGTTGTTTATTAAATATTATTTTCTCTATTCTTAATGTAAATTCAATAGAGACCGATTTTATTATGTAGATTCAACTGCTTTAATTGGTTTATGAGAGTTTTTTCTAGCATGATATAAGATTATTCATTTACTTCAAATATTTGACTTTTCTTTGGTCAATTTACACACATAACTACATTTAAAACGTGTAAGTCGTGCATAACACGTCGTGATTCAAAAAATATCTTCTACATGTGTGTGAGCACATGCAAGACGGCTGGTAATTTATAAATGGTCAGCGATAGCATGCTTCGAATTCTTTTTTATTGCTGCACAAGGAAGGGAAATATAATACTTGGCACAATTTTCATGCATCAATTGAAAACTTAAAAGAAACATTTTTTAATTGAATGAATTTGATATAAAAACGTTGTGATATTTACCAACTAGGTGTTGCAAAAAGAAAGCAAACTCTAGCCCATTAGAAAGAAGAAAACATAGCAGTGTTGTCCACTTTATCCTGCCCTTAAGCATGACTGGCAAGAAGTTAAACTAACTTACCTCCAAGAAGTTGAGGGAAGACGGCGAGCTATAGACTACCAGGCAAAGTATTGGCTTCATCTATTTATTTTTTTCCTCAAGCATAAAAATTTATGGATTCGCAACTACTTAAATTGATGAAAATCATTACTTTAGTCAAAAGAAAGGTTTGAAATTGGTACTGTAGAAATGAACAGTGTTTCAATCTGAATTTCAGATTAATTACAACCACGCCATTGGTCTTTCTGTTGGTTTTCCGTGGGAGGGTATGGGTTTTCAGTTTTTCCCTCTGATTCAATAGGTTATGTACTGTTTGAAAAATATTGTTTATTGTTTTGTTGGTTCTGTCCAATTTTTGGATGTGGGATAACGCTTGCAGGTGAATTATATGCACGGTTTTTTCGTCCACTACATCTACCAGCCATAAACCACAAAACCAGTTCTACTCAACACACACAAGCACGCACACACACACCCAGACACCTCCACAACCGACCACCCCTAATGCAGAACAACAAAGAGATAGAGGAGATGTCAAAAGATACACGAGGCTTGACAGAAAAAATGATAGAAGAGCAATGCTCAATTCTTCATTACCATAAAATTATAATTCTAATCATCTTCCTTTAACATATCAAACTCCCTCCCTAATAGTGTACCAAAACATCTTCATCAATGCAGATACAACTCCCTAAGCCACCAAAGCATATTAAATGACAATTGTTCCACCTAGCAACTTAATTTAAAATGCAACTTACAATGCATCAAAATTGCCACAAATATTAAATCACAGCCTAAAATACATGAATCTCAAATTAATAATTAATGGAATGACCAAACACCAAAATACCAAAAGCCCTGTTGAATAAAGTCCTTATGCTCTGCATCAACCCCACCTCCATTTCAGCTCAGCTCAGATTCTGGCCGTCCAAATCAACCAGTTTTCCGACCCTTGAATGTCTTCAGGTACTTTTTGTGTTTCTTTTGGTTCCTTCTTTTGTTGCTTAAATTCATGTGATTAAAGTCTGGAAAAATACAGTGAAAGAGATGCAACTTTTTTGTGCTAAATGTGCTTAAAGATTGGGCATGTTATTGAATATTAGCCATGTAGTTTGAATTGAATATGTGATTGAATTTTAAAGATTGCAGCTTTGTGCATTTTTCTCCTTGATTTTTACTGTTTGATTCTTGGGTGCGTTTATTTTTGTTGCTCAACAGTTTTTCTAATGCCATCAGCTGTGATGGTTAATATTCTGAATTTGTCCACTTCGATATGATTAGACAATTGCAATTAAGCATTTTGATTAGATTTCAGCAAACAGCATAAGATTAGCGTGCCAGAATTCATTAAGATGTAAACTAATAAAACACTTTGATATGCATGAAAAGCTCTGTTTGAATTGATAATTTGACATAAAATTGCCATAAAGGCAGTTGGTCTTATTAAAGGTTGTCTTCCAGAGGAATTAAAGAAGGTACTTTTATATGCAGCTTCTGAATGGGGGCATTCAATGTCTTATATTGTCAAATATAATGTTATTGTGTATGTATTTACTTTGCATAAACTTGGTCTCACTTTTGATTGAATTGTTGCAGTTCTTGGTGTAAGGAGTTATAGCTCCATTGAAGAAGTGAGAGGCATACGACAATATTTCTTCATTCTAGTACGTCATTTTAACGATTGGAATTCCACAATTTGATTAGTTTTGATAATTTCCGGAAGAAGAAGAAGGCCCTGTGTCCAAGTTTTAAAAAGCACACTTTGTAATGCTTCAAAATTTTATCCTTTTTTCAGGAATTCAGACAGGCAGGATGTGGATACTTCTGACTTTATCAAGGTTAGTGAATTATGTGGCTTCTCCACGAGATGCAGTTTTATTGTTAATCTTTGTAAGGCTTCAAAATTTCATGCTTTTTTCAGGAATTCAGTAGTCCCCATCATCATCAGTTTGTCTGCTATTGCAGTTAGAGAACCATTCCACAGGAGAAGGTGGGGTTACACCTTCAGTTTATTCGTGCGAAGAACCAGTATGTCCAAAAATATATGTTACTCGATTCTTAAAAACTGTATGGCATGGCAAAATAAATTTACAAATTGCTAATTTTTCTGTTTTGTATAATATCTTTGTTCACTCTACTTGAACAGGTACACATGTTAAGTTTTCTTTCATCTTATCTTTGGCACAGAAAGCACCATCAAAATTTAAACATTTTTTTTATTTTTTTCATTCGGCTGTTGAGGGAGGGATTGTTGTTGGCGGATGAACCCTTTAGGTAATTATCTGTTGCTTATTGAACTCCCCCAATCATGAGTTTTGACTCAGAAGAAGATTTTGATGATGACAGATACTAAATTGAATTTTGGCTCAAATTGTATTAAAAATTTCAATTCGGAGCAATTTTTATGACGAAGAAGGATGAATCCTAAACATATATATGAATATAGTCAATTTCCACATGCTCCATTCAATAGATGAATTGTAAACATATGAATTACAAGCACCTGAATTGAATAGATGCTTTTAATTCTTCTCTCATCTAAACCGTAGATTTTTCTGCAATTTTATTTCTATGTTGCTTATATCATTGTTGTTTGAATATATGGTTTAACTTATTTCATTAATCAGAAAATATATTACCGATAGTTTGATTGGTTAAGCTAAGATGTTTTTCATAGTATCGCATGAAGCTCGATAGGAAAGTAGTTCCATTGTCTGGTTGCTGCTGTTTTCTCATTGTGCAGGAAGCTTTATGGCGTTCAACGTGCCAAATCATTGTGCTGGCACTATTCTGTTTCAGTATTTGTTGGATTAGAATGTACTCATTGTTTTAAGTGAGTATTAATTTCGACTCTTGATAAATATTTTGAATGATAAATCAAAGGGCAGGGAGCGAGAGTCGGAGAAGCTCTTAGTTTGGGTGTTTTAACATGTTGATGTTGTGTGTTTTACTGTTTTATTAGATATGTGCTTCATATGCAGATAATGTATTTCTGATTTGAAATTTTCATCATTATTCCATTGATTTAGTAATTAAATTTATGCCTTGATTTAGCTTTTTTATCATGATGAGTATTAGGAACAGAGTAGGAGAGGTTGGTGATTTTACAGAGCACAATCATTAGGCTGCTTCGATGCTCTGTGTTTATTGATTAAGGTATACGTTATACGGATTTGATGTGATTCTGATTCTGGAATTGGGGGTTGACTACTGAATTGGTGCTTGATATATTCGTGCTAGATTGTTCTCCAGCAGTGGAATCTGAGGAAGATTTCAAAAACTGGGAAATTATTTTGTTCTCCACTTGGTAATTGGTGGAGATGTCAAGTTATGTGGGTGTTCACATTACGGATCAATCGCTTCAAAGCCAGTTCACGCAGGTTTAGCTGTGCAGTCTAGAATATAAAGTATGTATAATTTGTTCCCTAGCTTATCTGAATTTTCATATGGTGTGGTATTTGTGGATCTTATGTGATAGTTTTTCTTTGAATTCGGTGAAGACTCAGAATGGGAAAGTTATGGCTGGAGATTTGCCACCTTTAATGGTGAACTTAAAGGCATTTAGAGAAACGTATTCTGAGGACATCAGAGATGTCTTAAGTGGCTTGGATTCTGACTTCAGGGATGAGATTCATTCTTCCTTAAGGTGATTCATATTGTTTGTTTGTTTTATTTTCCTTCTCTCTCTCTCTCTCTCTCTCTCTCTCTCTCTCTCTAGCACACTCACACCCCTATGCATGTTACTGAGTTAATCATAGTGCTGACCAAAGTAGGTATAAGAATAACGATTGGAGGTTGTTGGTGTAAAACTTCAAATTGCAAAAACAAAAGAAAATTGTAAGGGTAATGGATTAATATGTGATTTGTCCAATGTAGATGTGTTTGATGCAGCACTGCAAACAAAGTAGTGTCATTATTGAGACCATGTAAACTTGAGTATAAATGGGATCCAACTACAAGAGAAATGTTTTGGTGTGCCAGGAGTACATTAAGTGTCATAATACATTTGTTGAAATAATTTTTTTTTTAAGTTTCTAACCAATTGTATCATGACACTTAATATATCAAACTGTGTTCCTAATATACTGAAAAATCTCTCCAACTGCAAGGGCTACTTTACCGGTTGGTATTGTTGAATATTTTAAGAATATATATATATGATTTGGCGCTGCATTGTGCAGCGTGTGTGTGTATGATAAAGGGTGCTGCAGTGCGCAGCAAATGTAATTAGTTGAATGGTTACAACTTTTAGTTAAGAGACATGATGCTTACTCAAATTGTATGAGTAAAATTAAAAAATATAAATAATCAAAATTTATTTTCTGAAAATATTAAATAGAAGACATGTCTTTTGGGTAAACACTATTAAAAAGGATTGTGCATCTTCAACTAAAATGAAAGGGCTCGATGAACGGGTACTTTGATCTCTATAAATACATATTGTGGCATAATGTTTCATACACAATTTCAGAAATTAATTTCTACATTCCTTACTCTTTTCTCTCTCCATCACATTCATACAATTTCTTTTTAGTTATTTCCAAGGAAATATAATTCGGTTTTGTTAATTGAATATTCCATACTTTGTTGTATACTGAAAGTGATTTGCCAAGAACCCTTTAGCAAACTCATTCGAGTGGGGGCAAATAACAAGGAAAGATTTAAGTCATACCTCAAAGTCAATCTTTGGATTATTCTCCATAATTCTACATTTTCTAACAAAGTAAAAGTGTTATTTTCGTCATGGAGAACAAGTCCGATAACATGGCCTTGAAGATTATCAATCAAGATGTCTACAAACTAGACAAATTTGATGGATCAAACTTCACCTGATGGAAGGACAAAATGCGTTTCATGCTTACTGTTCTAAATGTCATTTATGTGTTGGACTCGAAATTAGAGCCTATTGGTGAACCAAGTGACAAAGATATGGACAAAATAGTTGCCGATAGAAAGAAACGTGAAGAAGATGAATTGGTATGTAGAGGACACATCTTGGACACATTATCTGATTGCTCATATGACCTGTACGCACACATTCAATCTCTGAAGGAAATTTGGGAAGCACTTGAACACAAGTACACAACAGAGAAAAGATGTACTGATAAAATTTTTAATGTTCAAATATTATGAGTTCACTATGTTTGATAACAAACCGATTCTAGACCAAGTTCATGAATTATTGGTCTTGGTCTCAAAGCTTCATGAACTTAAAATAGTTATTTTGGATCCTATGATAGTTGGGGCTATTATGGCAAAATTACCCCAAACATGGAATAATTATAGAAAGAAACTTCTACACATGGTGAAAGATATTAGTTTGGAGGATTTGCAAAAGAGTATTCAAATTGAAGAAGAAACTCGAAATCGTGATAAGAATTTTGCAAATCAAGATTTGTCCAAAGTTCACATTGTTGAATGAAATAAATACAAAAAGAACTTCAAAGTCAAAGTTGATAAAGGGAAGTTTAAGAAGACCAATTCCAACAACAATCAAAAGAATGCAAATGGTGTCTACTACCATTGTGGAAAGAAATGCCATTACATTCGTGATTGTAGACACATAAAAGCAAGTGAGGAATATGCTAATAAGACCAATAATGCAAATATGGTGGAAAACTCTGGAGTTGATAACATTGTTGCAATGGTATCAATGATGCATATCGACATGGTTACCGAACTAAATATGGCAGCGGCAATAAAATCCTCTGATTAATGGCTCGACTCAGGAGCTACTATACATGTGTGTAATGACAAGGCACCATTCATGACATATGAAGCATTAATGAACAATCAAGAGGTTTTAATGGGGAATTATAATTCCGCCAAAGTTATAGGAAAATGAACCATTGAACTTCAATTTATTTCTGGGAAGTAATTGATGTTGCTTAATGTATTGCATGTTCCAGAAATTAGAAAGAATCTTGTGTCTACAAATTTATTATGTAAGAACGGTATAAAGACTGTTCTAGAGTCCGACAAGTTAATAATGTCGAAAAATGGAATGTTTGTTGGGAATGGGTACTCTTGTGATGGGATGTTCAAACTAAGTATTAATAATAAAGTGAATTCTTCTGCTTATATTATTGAATCTTCCTCTCATTTATGGCATTTACGTTTAACACATAAATTTTAGATCTTTAAAATACATGCGCACACTTGGTTTAATTTCTTGCAATGATGATTATAATGATAAATGTGAAATATGTATTCAAGCGAAAATGACTAAGAAACTTTTCCAACTGCTGAAAGAAATACAAATTTATTAGATTTAATACATTTTGACATATGTGAATTTAATGGTTTTTTAACCAGAGGAGGAAAAAGATATTTTATCAGATGATTGTTCTAAGTTCACTTATGTTTATTTATTGTCTAATAAAGATGAAGCCTTTGGGTGTTTTAAGCGCTATAAAGCTGAAATTGAAAACCAAAAAGGAAGGAAAATTAAATGTCTTCGTAGTGATAGAGGTGGTGAATATTTTTCACATGAATTTGATATTTTTTGTGAAGAGCATGGTGTTATACATCAAAGAACTGTACCCTATACACCACAACAAAATGGTTTGGTAGAAAGAAAAAATAGAACACTCACTGAAATGATTAATTCTAATACTCCAAAATATTTATCGGGTGAATCATTGTTTACTGCATGCCATATACACAATAGAATTACATCTACGAACACACATGTGTCACCATATGAAATTTGGAAAGGAAGAAAACCAAATTTGTTATATTTGAGAGTATAGGGTTGTGTAGCTTTTTACAAGGCCTGGATCCTAAGAGATCCAAGTTGGGTCCAAGAGGAATTAAAAGCATATTTGTAGGATATGCAGAAAATTCAAAAGCATATAGGTTGCTTAATTTAGACTCAAATACAATAGTTGAGTCTAGAGATGTCGAATTTATAGAAAATAAATTCTATAACGACTAATCAATGTCTGAAAAAGAGAATGATCAAACACTTTTCTCTAATCCGGCTAGTAGTCATTCTCAAGGTGAGAAAAGAAAATAGTCTGAAACTGTTAATGAACTAAGGAAAAGCCAAAGAGTAAGAAAAGAAAAGACTCTAGGCTCTGATTTTATTTCATCTCAACCTATTGTATTTTTAGTTGAAGGAAATAGAACAAAGGTTCTTAAAAAAATACCCATATTGTTGAATGTTGAGGATGATCCTAAAAGTCTAAGCGAAGCAATGACTTCAAGAGATGTAGCTTTTTGGAAAGAGGCTATAGATGATGAATTTGAATCATTGATATCTAATCAGACATGGGTTTTAGTAGACTTGCCTCAAGGATCAAAAGCAATAGGTTGTAAGTGGGTATTTAGAAGAAAATACAATACAGACGGGTCTATTCAGACATTTAAAGCCAAGCTGGTTGCCAAAGGTTTTAAGCAGAAAAAGGGAATAGACTATTTTGATACGTATGCACCAGTAGCTAGGCTCACATCAATTAGAATATTGTTTGCATTGACATCTTTATATAATTTGCATGTGCATCAAATGGATGTGAAAACGGCTTTTTTAAATGGTGATTTAGATGAAGAAGTCTATATGGAACAACTAGAAGTGTTTGTTCTCCCTAGGAATGAAAGGAAAGTTTGTAAATTAGTAAAGTCATTATATGGATTGAAGCAAGCACCAAAACAATGGCATGAAAAGTTTGATTTTGTCATTTTATCATATGGATTTAGACATAACAATGCTAATAAATGCATATACTCTAAATTCAAATATAATTATGGTGTTGTTATATGTTTATATGTCGATGACTTGCTAATTTTTGGTACAAACATGAAAGGTGTATCTGAAACTAAAGAGTATCTAAATTCAAAATTTAAGATGAAGGACTTGACTGAAGTAGATACTATCTTGGGAATTAAAGTAAAGAAACATAATAGAGGTTACGCTTTGTGTCAGTCACATTATATAGAAAAATTGCTTCTTAAGTTTAAGCATCTACAAATAAAAGAAGCAAATACCCCTTATGACCCTAGTGAAACTTTGCTTAATAATTCTGGTAGGTCCGTTGCACAGCTTGAGTATGCTAGTGTAATCGGAAGTTTAATGTATGCCATGCATTGTACCAGGCCAGATATCGCATTTGCAGTAAGCAAACTTTCTAAATACACTAGTCATCCAAGTACTGCTCATTGGAAAGTAATAAATAGAATTTTTGGTTATCTTAAAAGAACTATAAACCTGAGTTTAACTTACTATGAGTTTCCAGCAGTACTTGAAGGATATTCAGATGCAAGTTGGATAACAAGTGCTAATGATAATAAGTCTACATCAGGGTGAATTTTTACAATTGTCGGAGGAGCAATATCTTGGGCTTCGAAGAAGCAAACATGTATAACACATTCAACTATGGAATCTGAATTTATAGCATTAGCAGTAGCAGGTAAAGAAGCGAAATGGATTAGAAATTTGTTATTGGAAATAAAGTTGTGGCCACAACCAATGCCATCCATTTCTTTATACTGTGATAGTGAGGCTACTTTGTCTAGAGCATACAATAAGCTATATGTAGACATCGAAATTTCAGTTAAAAAAAAAAAAAACAAATGTTCACTAATGCATTAAAGTTTTGACGTGTCAAGGCATACATGGCATACGCCACGTGTTGTACAAATTGTACACATTGCGTGTGACTCAACAAAATAGGAAGAAATACCCTTGAAGGATTAAACAAGTTTTTCTTCTCATTTTGGGCAATGACAAGGCAAGTACATTTCAATCCATTGAGGATCAAAACAAGTTTTTCTTCTCATGTTGGGCAATGACAAGGCAAGCAAACTTCAATCCATTACGGATCAAAGCAAGGTTTTCTCATTTGGGCAATGACAAAGCATACACATTTCAAGTTTAAAATGGTGTTAAGTGGGAAATTAGGCCATAAGTTACACCACTTCAAGTTTAAAATGGTATTAAGTGGGAAATTAGGCCATAAGTTACACCACTTCAAATTTAAAATGGTATTAAGTGGGAAATTAGGCCATAAGTTACACCACTTCAATTTCAATATTGCATTAAGTGGGAAAATTAGGCAATGGTGCTTGGAAAGAAAAAAAATATTTTGTGGTGGTGATTCATTCTCAAAGCCTATAAATAGGCTTCTCCATCAAGGTATCAAGCATCAACCAATTCACAAATACATTTCTCCACACACCAAAACCTTGAAGCCTTAGAGTTCTAAAGCTCTCAAGAAAATCCCGAAGGATCAAGAAAGCACTCTTCGTTCTTCGTCAAATCCTCCCTCAAGATCAAGCCCCAACGGCCCTTGAAGAACTTCCACCAACTCAAGATCAAGCCCCGACGGCCCTTGAAGAAAGTGTTCATCCGTTCATCCCAAGATCAAGCCCCAACGGCCCTTGAAGAACTTCCACCAACTCAAGATCAAGCCCCGACGGCCCTTGAAGAAAGTGTTCATCCGTTCATCCTAAGCTCAAGCCCCAACGGCCCTTTGGATCACCATTATTCAACAAATCCACACATCCAATCGTTCTTCAAGATTAAGCCCAAAAGCCCTTGAAGAAATCCACACAACCATTATTCAAGATCAAGCCCTGACGGCCCTTGAAGAAAGTGTTCATCATTCATTATCCGTTCATCCTAAGCTCAAGCCCCAATGGCCCTTTGGATCAACAACCTCAACAAATCCACACATCCAATCGTTCTTCAAGATTAAGCCCAAAAGCCCTTGAAGATCCGCTCATCCATCAACCTTTAAGATCAAGCCCAAAAGCCCTTGAAGAAATCCACACAACCATTATTCAAGATCAAGCCCTGTCGGCCCTTGAAGAAAGTGTTCATCCGTTCATCAACTGTTCATCCTTAGATCAAGCCCCGACGGCCCTTTGGATCAACAACTCATTCACAAACCTACACCCTACGAAGATAGAATCAGAGGACCAAATTTGAGAGAGATCGTAACCCCAAAATCATTAAACACAAAATATTATTTTGTACACGTTATTCTTGTTTCTTGTTTCAAGGAACTTTCGTGTTCACAAATTTGGCACGCCCGGTGGGACCTCTCTACCTCTCATCTCTATCCTCAAATCATCGAAAAAACGCAAATGGCATCAAGAAAGGATCAAGCTGTTTCTGCAATCAAAGCAAAGAACAAGAACATCATAGCCGCAAGTGGTGGTATTTCGGGCATCACAACCCGAAGTAAAGCAATAGCTCTTTTTGCCGCGGCTTCCGCCCCTGCATTAACTCTGTCAAAGGAACAAGAGCACCTGAGGTACGAGCCTGTGATCACCCTAGCCTCGCTAAGGGCATCAAGGGGAGAAAGCCCAAGGAAATACTCAGAGTCCCTACTCTCCGACGCTGATTCGAGCGGCAGTACAACCATGCAAGTCATGACCACTGGAGCAACTTCAATCGAGGAGCAGCTAGCTCAGATGAATGAAGCAATCGCAAAGCTCACACGGACTGTGGAAGAGAAGGACTTGCAGATTGCCGCACTTGTCAGCCAACTAGATGCGCTGCCCGACGTGAAAGTCGACCCAAATGTTGGCCTATTAAAGAAAGAAGTCGACGAAGAAGAGGAGCCACCAGCGGAGAAAGTTGAAGAGAAGCCAAAGCTAGAACAAGCAACGGCATTCATGGGATCTCTCTCTATCCAGCAGCTACAGGAGTTGATCGCAAGCACTATCAAGACACAGTACGAAGGAAGCTCGCATGACTCCGTACTGTACTCAAAGCCTTACTCCAAGAAGATTGATGCTTTGAAAATGCCAAGGGGTTATCAGCCCCCAAAGTTCATGCAGTTCGATGGAAAAGGCAACCCGAAGCAACATGTCGCCCATTTCATTGAAACTTGCAACAATGCTGGGACAGAGGGAGACTACCTCGTCAAACAGTTCGTGCGTTCGCTGAAAAGTAACGCTTTTGACTGGTACACTGACCTCGAACCTGAGTTTATCAACAGTTGGGACCAGCTAGAAAGGGAATTCCTCAACCGTTTCTACAGCACTCGTCGTACTGTAAGCATGCTAGAGCTGACCAGTACGAAACAGTGGAGAGATGAACCTGTCGTCGACTACATAAATAGATGGCGCTCCTTAAGTCTGGATTGCAAAGATCGGCTTTCTGAAACCTCTGCCATTGAGATGTGCGTTCAAGGCATGCACTGGGGG